GTGTAGAAAACAAAGCTACATCAAACAGATACAATAATGTACAACAGGCTTCAGAATTAAGCTTTGTGAAATTTCTTTTTTATTTGTTAAGACTTATTTCATGGAATAAAATGTGATATATTTGTGGAATAAAATGTGATATATTTCAGAATGAGCTTCATAGGCTCTGGGAAAATGTGCTGTAGGTGCCACTAACATCCATTTGGTCTATTGTACAGTTCTACTTTGAATTTTCTTTCTTTTAAATTTATTTTGTTTTCAATTAACACATTTGTAATTATAAGTCTTTACGCCAAGTCGCCCAAGCCCCTCCAACATGTGGGCAGCCAAAATAACACTCAGGGACTTATATTAGGTACAACGCTGCTGACCAATGACTAGGATTTCTCAATTGCTAGCTCTGTCTTAAGTATCAACCATAATCATTAATCTATATATTTTATAAACTTACCTTATTGAGGAGGCCGGGTAGCAAGCATCCTGTCTTCCGGGCTCACACGGCAACTTCTATCTCTACTACATTTCCCAGAATCCTCCTCGACACCTAGTCCCACCTATCTTGCCTTCTTATTGGCCAACAGTACTTTATTTATCAACCAATAAGACAAGCATATACACAGAAGGACCTCCCCCATCATACATGATTATTTCCCCTCCTTTTCTTTCCTCCAGTGTCTCTCACACTAAAACCTACAATTTGTGCTGGGCAGTGGTGGTGCACACCTTTAATCCCAGCACTTGGGAGGCAAAGGCAAGAGGATCTCTGTGAGTTCAAGACCAGCCTGGCCTACCAAGCAAGTTCCAGGACAACCCCCAAAACCCCAGAAAACCCCTGTTTTAAAAAAACAAAAAAATAAAAAAAAAAAACAGCAAAAAACCCTCTCAAATTACTCGTCTCTTTTCCTTTAAATATTATTGTTACAAATATATTTAGAAAAGCACACACACACACACACACACACACACACACACACACACACACACACAAAACCAACCAAGTCTATTTAATGCTGCTTATAATGTGTAATTTTTTATGGCTGACAACTTGGTATTTGAAAAACCAGTAAAAGGTTTATCCACGGGGAACCCTATTCTTCCTCTCTCAGTAGTTGTTAATTCCCTTTAGCTCTTCATCCCCTTGGGATTTTCCCCATTCATGTTGGCATGTCAACTGGTCTGTCTTTGGCCTTCTTTAGACAGCCATGTTGCTGAGATTTCATGGATGTGGCTTTCCTGTCACAGCTAAAAGGCACATAGACTTCTAAATTCACCTCAAAATTGAATGTCAGGAAAGAAAGGTTATTAAATCAATGAATTTCCTCCACCATGAGTTCTAGCTTTGAGGAGAACACTGGTTTGGTTTAGTGTAGGGGTTCTCTGGTTCACAGGGCTACAAGTGGTCATCTTCAGTACTTTCCTGCTATGCTGTCAATTCAAGTCACCTGACTGAACATGGAAGCCTAAGCTCCAACAAACTGCATGACCACAAGGTTGTTCACCTGAATTCTGAGGGCTTGCATACCTGAACAGTTACTCTGAAGACTGTTGTCCTTATTTCTAATATAGAGGTGTTTCATTTCTATTCAGTCATAGTCAGGGGCACCCTCATTGACCTTCCACTCTGGCTCATAAGATGATAGGATATGATCGGGACGTGATTTTGTCACTTACTAGATGTTTTTCTCAATTTCGTCTTTTTACTAGTTATTTGAAAGACTGAGTTTTCAAAATGTAAAACAGAAAGTATGGTAAACTGTTGAGACTGATTTTAGTATGCACAAGAGAGTTAATTTTTAAATTACAATAGAATGCTCATCATTCCATTTTACTGGATTCAGCAGGCAAAGCTTTTGCTCATGACCAAAGAGGTCTGCTTTTCCTTAAAAGAAACCTTTTACTTACTCACTTAGAAAATTCAAGGATTCAACACTAGGCCTTCTTAGAACCCATTGCTGGCCAGCATCAGTCACTGTCCTTAGAGAGAATTCCAAATGCTGTACTTGAGTGAAGGTTGAAAGCTTCAAAGTCAACACTCTCCTGTGGTCAACTGTGGTCAATGTGGGAAGGTATAAAGGACTTCCAGTTTGTCTAATGTCACCAATTTGCCATATTTACTTTTATATCTTAAGCCTCTAATTTGGTTTAAAATTGCATTTTCATTTTCAACATCCTTTAATTCAATTATTTGTACAGTAGCATAAACCTGATTGACTCACAGGAAGAGTTCTCTTACTATGAAGGACAAACTGTAGGTCGAAGGTTTTGTGGCTGGGTTGGTGTCCTTCCACTTGAAGCCTTGTCTGATTACAGAAGATGGCCAGTTCAGGCTCCTTGCGCCCCGTTACTAGGAGTCTTTACTAGGGTTACTCTCATAGATTCCATGGAGTTTCCATTGCACTAGGTTTCTACCTCACCGCTGAAATGCCCCCCAATTTCAATTGTTTCTCCCAGTATTTTCTCCCTCCCTCCCCAGCTGATACCCCCTATTCCAGACCCCATGAGCCCCCAGTCCACCGACAAAATCTCTTTATTTCTCGGGGAGGTTCATACATCCCTTCCTTAAGCCCTCCTTGTTACTTAGCCTCTCTGGCTCTGTGCACCATAACATGATATTTTCACTTTACAGCTAATATCTAAGCATAAGTGAGTGCCTACCATGTTTTTCTTTCTGGGTTTGGTTACCTGACTTGTTGTGGAATATTACTTCAACTGGGCAAAGATGTGTTACATTTGTTTATGCTTCAAAATACTACTTCAACTGTATAAAGGTGTGTTATATTTGTTTTGCTGCCTTTGTTAACAATGTTAAGATGTACTTTTGTTTCTGCTGCATTTACTAATTATGCAAAGATGTGTTGCATTTGTTTCACTTTGCCTGCCTAAAGCACTTGATTGGTCTAATAAAGAGCTAAACAGCCAATAACTATGCAGAGAAAGGATACATGGGGCTGACAGGCAGATAGAAATAGGAAGAGAAATCTAGGTTCAATAAAGAAGGAGAGAACAAGGGAGAAAGAGGGACACACACAGTCAGCCAGGGAGCCACCAGACAGCTAGATGGAATAGGACATACAGAAGAAAAGAAAGGTAAGAATCCCCCAGGCAAAATATAGATAAAGTTATAAAAGCTAGCAAGAAACAAGTATAAGATAAGACTGAGCACTCATAACAAGTAGTAAGTCTCCATGTCAAGATTTGAGAACTTATTGGTGGCCCAAAAGAAAGTCTTGTACACTCACTCAGGACAATTTCCTTTTCAAGTTCCATCCATTTGCCTGCATATTTCATGATGTCATTGTTTTTAACAACTGAGTAATGTTCAGTTGAGTAAATGTACATATTCTTTATCCATTCTTCAGTTGAGGGACATCTAGGTTGTTTCTAGTTTCTGGATATTATGAATAAAGCTATATAAACATAGATGAGCAAGTGTCCTTGTGACAGAATGGAGCATCCTTTGAGTATAATCCCAGGGTTACAGCTGGGTCTTGACACAGATCTAGTTCTCAATTTTCTAAGAAACCACCATATTGGTTTCCAAAGCGGCTGTGCAAGTTTAAGCTCCCATCAGCAGTGGAGAATTGTTCCCCTAGCTCCACATCCTTGACAGCACTTGTATTTTTTGTAATCATTTTGATTTTCATTTCTGTGATGGCTAAGGATGTTGAACAGTTCTTTTTTTCCTAAGAAATTGTTTTTTAGTAGTTCAAATTAGAAGCAAGCCTGCTTCACATGTCAATCTCTTCTCCCTCTCCCTCCCCTCCTCCCTTACCTCATCTCCCCTCTGCACCCCAGGGAGGGTAAGGCCCTCCATGGAGGAATCCCTAAAGTCTGTCATATCATCATCAGCAGGGCTTAGGCCCTCCCCCATGTATCCAGGCTGAGAGAGCATTCCTCCAAGTGGAATGGGCTCTCAAAGTCCTTTCTTAGGCCAGGGATAATTACTGATCTACTCCCAGAGGCACCATGGAGTACCGAGAGGCCTCCTCATTGACATCCACAGTTGAACAGTTCTTTAAGTGCTTCTCTGCCATTTGAATTTCCCCTGTTGAGAATTCTGTTTAGATATGTATCCCATTTTTTATTTGGATTATTAAGTTTGTTGATGTCTAGTTTCTTGAGTTCTTCATGTGTTTTAAATATTAGCCCTCTGTCAGATATGGAGTTGGTGAAGGTGTTTTCACATTCTGTGGGCTGCCTTTCTGTCATATTGATGATGTTCTTTGCCTTATAGAAGATTTTCAGTTTCATGAAGTCCCATTTATTAATTCTTGATCTTAGTGCCTATGCTAATGGTGTTCTGTTCAGGAAATTACCTCCTGTACCAATGCATTCAAGGCTATCCGACACTTTCTCTGCCATCAAATTCATTGTATCTATATTTATGTTGAGGTCTTTGATGGACTTGGATTTGAGTTTTGTTGCAGGGTAATAGATAGGGATGTATTTGCATTCATCTACATGCCTATAACCAGTTAGACAAGCAGCAGTTGTTGAAGATCCTTTCTTTTTTCCATTGTATATTTCTAGCTTCTTTATCAAAAATAAAGTGTTCAGAGGTCTGTAGATTTACATCTGTGTCTTTGATTTGATTCCATTAGTCAACGTGTGAGTTCTTATGCCAATACTATGCAGTTCAATTTTCTTAGCTTATATCTTATTACATATCACCAAAGAAATGGGCATAGGTTTGAGTCTTTGAACTCAATACAAACACTTAAATTAAATATAAGAACAGTGCTGGATTTTCTCCAAAAAAAAAAAATGTAGGCTATGATGATTTTCAACATATATTGTCTCTTTAAATCCCCTTAGATAATAACAATCAAGCCATGTTCATTTTCTAATCTGTAACACTATAAAAATTAGTAAATAAGCATCTTTCAGAGTATCTTATTGATATATCAGAGTGAGTAAGTAAAGGTCTGTGAAAATGATTTTGATAAAAATATTTCTCTCTAACAATGAGTTTTTCCTACCAATAATGATTGTTCCCTCAGGAATTGGTGTGCTTATGTACATACCAAGTTATCTCCAACTGTAATACTGGACACTCACAGCTCTTATATGCCAAATGGAAGAAGATCCTGTGGCTGGTCCAGCGGACTCTGTTCCCAAAGGTATGCAATGTTTTCTGAAAATAGACATTTTCTGTATAGACTGGAAATACATAAAATAGCCATCCCAAGCACTGTATGGCTAATCAGACCCCTTATATTAGATTGTATACATGACTTTTAATAAATTAAGATATGGTTACTAATAATACTTGGGTTGCATATTTGCTTTCAGAATCTTGTGAGCCAATGCATTCATGCATTCAGCCTACTGCCGAGCACCCTGTGAGTGCTTAGGGAGTGTTAATCTTCTTGTTCCATAGTTACTATTATATTAGTGACCTAATGAAAAAAGCCTGGGTTTATATGCTTATAAAAAGGCATAGATAACTTCAAAGATTTATTAACAATTTTTTTTGTTTTATGTAAAAGCCCATATATAACTTGGCTTGTATTCTAAATATAGAAAGCCATTACCTGTGATTGTTCATGGGAAAGCAGCTCTTCTTAAAATGTCTTAGTGACCATACTGTCCAATACACATATGTATATATTATATTATGTATACATTATGTTACTGACACTGATTTTCATTAAATATATGATTATATTATGTATATATTAGTGACCATGTTGCTCATTACACATAAAAGTGTATTATATATACATTATATGTATGTACATACACACATATAACATTCTCATAAAATAATGTAAGGCTGAGTTCTTGACAAAGTCTCTGAGTCCACATAGTAACTGTAAGTTAACTAGAGATGTTCATAAAGAGCCTGCAAAAAAAAAAAAAAAAACTAGCTTTGCTATTCAAGCTCTGAGACTAATGCTACACAAATTATCATACAAATAACCTAGGAAATGAATCTGATGCATCAGCAATCTGGAACAATGCACAATAAGGACACATAAAATCCAGGTGTTTCTGTGTCCCTTGAGGACTTGGATTCATGGTCCAGAGAACTGAGTACATTTTAGGGATCTGAGAGAGCTAATCTCTGACCCTGCTTTCAGCTGTTATTCCCTTTGTAACAATTTTCTTGTCAAGGAAGGCACAAGGAACACATTGTTAATTCTTCAGTAATGAAAATATTACCACAGTAAACCGTTATAATATCGTTCTTCTGGGTCCAAGGTGAGTTTCTCCCCTGATCTTTACTCTTTCCTCAAACCCAGCTACTTTATCCTTATTCCTATCGCTTGTCTTTGTTTCCATTTGAATGGGTCTTTACATTCATTCACAATTTCAGTATTTATACAATAGATGCCTGTATTTCCTTTATTGTATCAACATTTCATGCAGCAGACACTCGGTTTGCCAAAGCAGAAACACTGACCCTCTAGCATGGTTCAACAAAGTTTTAAGTTCTAGATTCAATCCCACAAACTAAATAAATTCTGTCTTCGTTCCTTACTTAGCTTTAGCAGTTGGGCTAGAGATGATATTCCCTCCAACAGAATAATTTAATGAATATGACATTGAAGTAGACAAAGATGAATGACTTAGCATGCTTTTGGGACTGGAAAAAATCTTATAGCTCATTCTGCTATTGCAGAATAACCTCTGATATAATGACCTATATGTCAGGTTACAACAGAAGCAGAAACCTGACTAATTCAGTTCCTCCGCACACAACCCTTGAGCAGGTCACTAGGTCTGACTGTGACAAATTCCCATAGCATAAGCCTATCTCATACAATCCAGGTTAAAATTCCAATTCCATTAGTTTTAGATATGGTCATTTGAACAAGTTAACTTGTCTCTCTATTATTTGTGCTCCTCAGCTTTAAAGCATAATATTAGAATTAAAATAACTTCTAACACTGATCTAGCCAGAAAACATTATGCAAAGAAAAACTATCTTATCATTAGAAAATACAATGATGGATATTAATTTAAAAATACCAGTAGTAAAATGACTCAAGCTTTTTGTTGCATATTCAAAGAAATCCTGTTGGCTAGTTTGAATATAATACTGATGATATGTTTATGATTTTGTAATAGTACCAAGAGTAAGCAGTTATCACATTTCAGGATTTATTCTAGGTATTTTATATTTATAACTCCTGATTCTATCTTAACATGAAACAAATAATTTTGCATCAATTGTCTTCCTCTACAGATCTCAGAAGACATCCAATGCTGTCTATAAGATGCAGCATAAGATTGTCACCTCATTAGAATGGAGATGCTGTCCTGGATACATAGGGCCAAACTGTCAGCTCAAAGGTATATGCCAATAATAACATCATAATAACGAATTCTGAGAAATACACAATTGAATGGACCAATTGTGCACCTAGGAAACTTGCTAAGAAGCCAGATGTTAGGCCTGCTGCTACTTTAAAATTTCCTAAGTCACCACAGTCTCATAATCTGTCCCTTCACTGTCCCTCTCATCCTTGTGTTGGTTTTAGGAAATGAGGAAGAATTCACTGTATTACTCATTATTAACTAAAACTACAATGACATGCCTTCCTGAGATATTATTGTAAATTCTCATTTTATACTATAAATAAATATGATGAGAAATAACCCACATAAAATAATTATACGACACACTGGTTTTGTCCCAGTTCAAATACTTGATATAATGTGGGGCAGTGAATGACAGTCCATGTTAAAGAATATACCGTGTAACCTATAAAAAATTAGTTTTTTTTTCATCTTAAAGGAACCATTATTTTTTAAGCTGAGATTTTAAAGATTTTCTGGTGGAAGGCTGACCAAACACATGGTTACCTCCTGTGGCCTAATAGCCATGCAACTATTCCTTTGCTTTCAGCTTTAAACAGATTTTCTTTGAAAAATAAGATGTGACATCTGCATTCATATTTTAGGTGAATGAATATTACAAGAAAGGCCATTAGCAGTGGTGGAGAATTCAATCAACAGTGTAGGAGATGGTGATTAAAAATTAATGTAACTGTGGCGAAACCATTATGAGTCACATTAAGAAACAGAAAATCATATACAGGAGCTCTAAGAATCATGCAGTTTAGTCGGGGATATTATTCATGGCTAGCCAGCCCATGCAGTGAGGATCTGTGGGTAAATCTTCCACACTGCTGTTTTCTCTGGGCCTGGTTTAGGTTTCTCAGATAACATAAAATCCATCACATTTTCAGATGGTACCAGGAATGTTTTACCTTGTAATTTGGTAAAATAAAACTTTTACAGAAAACATTACCCACACTGAAAATATTTGGAAATGAGGTGGTACAAAATATTTGAAAAATAACAAATATGTTACTGCTTTCAAATAATTCATTTTCATAAGGTGTGCAAATGTATTCATGCTGCTATAGGGCATTTATTCCTTACCCACATTTTTATGTTATCTAAGACTCTTGACAATATTTGGAATTATGCTTAAAGTCTTTACTTTTCTTCCTTTTGAAAGGTATTTAGAGAATATTAATCTGATGCTTATTTTTTTAAAGAATAAAGTGTTGGTTTGCAAAGTGTCTTCTCAGAATGCAGGCTGTCATTACACACCCCATTGCACAGAATGGCTGACGGCAGGTGGCAGGGAACAAAGCAATATGTCAAAGCATGTCCTAGGCCCAACTGCTGAGAGCTCTGCCTGCCCCACGTCCAGCTCCCGTACTTGCTAATAGAGTCTTAATCATTGTGGCAGACTCATGCATGTAGATGGGAGAGAAGCTACCAAACTCCAGGATGAGTTCCAGAAGAAACAAAGCAAATTCATAATTTCAATATCTATTTATACTGGCATTGGCTTCTTTTGGATTACCAAGTGTTTAAATGTAAGTGGTTTATATTCTGTAGTTAATGGCACCTCAAATTCTTCCTAAAAGTCACCTATGGGTATCTTTAATATTAGATTTGCAGTTTTCTATTTCAATACATGTTAGCAAAAAAAAGTCTCAAAAAAGCTTCAATATGACCTCCTGTCATAGTCACCTAATCAAAGCTACACAAAAGGCCTGTGTGTGTTGATTATTCTGTTATGGGGAGGCATCTTTCCAATAGAAACCTATGGGGAATAAGGTGAGGGTGGCAGGTTTGCCCTATTATTTCAAATTGTCCTACAGTGAATTCTAATACAGCTTTGATTCAAAAAATGTCATATTGCTCAGACAGAATCCTGGCTATTCGTCTCTTACTTTCATTGCAGTCCACTGAGCACTTGCATTTTTTATGAGTACAATTGATACTGGTAGCATCAAGAGCCACTGCCTCATGCTTCCCCTGAGCCATTGTTAACTAGCTCTCTCCTGGTTTATTTTTTCCTTCACATTTTCCCATTCTGACACCTACCTAATAACATCCCAAGCTGTCCCCTCACCCATTACACTTAATAAATATGGCACCAGCCTTTCATTTTTATATGGTGGATCAAGTCCCCAAAAGAATAGAAAGTTTGACACCATTGCCTGTGTTGTACCATGTGGCCGCCTGCCTCAAACAAGGCAAGAATGATCAATCTGGCTGATCCATTCTTTAAACCTCTGCTGATGCCTCTACAGTTTGGTTATGTAGACACTTGATTATGTAGGTACAATCGCAATTACCTCAGGGCTTATCCCTCGAAGTGACACTGGATTATTTATTCAAAACATGTGTAAAGTACCACATACAGTTCATAAATCTCTGCTTCCCAAATTAGGTTCATCTCCAGAAACAAAATTAATTTCATAATGTAAATGTGATAATTTCCTTTTAATTTGATTGCAGTAGAGAAATGGTTTAAACATAAGATTAATATCAGTAAGTCTGTTGGCAGCTGGACTGTCCTCCTTATGCTTCCCCCAGAGTACCCACCTCTTCCCAGCCCTTCCTCTTCTTCCTTCTGAAAATCATTCTCTGGGTGTCAGCAAGAGATGCTGAGCACCAAACCCATTGGGCATTTCTTCCCAGCTGTTATTCCAACATGCTCATCTGTTCTGGATTTTAGTGGTAGCTTCAAAAGGAGTCTTTTTTTAAAAAAATTACATGACTGGAACTTTAGGGGTGGGGAACAAATATTAGGCCCAGCATCAAACAATAGTTTCCATATGATTATGCTTTCTGAACTTGCTCACAAATATTTTCTTGTTTCTCTGTAGGAAGAAACTTACTTTATTTTACAGTATAATATTAGAGACTTTTTAAATGTCTGTAGTGTAGTAACATGCCACTTATACCTATGAGATAAAATTTGCAATTCCGTGCCTCTCCAGTAGATGTCTCTAAAATATTCTGAAGTGGAACAAGGCAATTATGATTTTCTATTACATCACAAAAGAAAGTAATTTTTCTTCAATTGATGTTGGTTTAGATAGGATCCTTTTGCAAATCTGTTAAACATTAGAGTTCACACAGACTTTCTAAAACAAAATCTATAAAATTACATTTTAAAATATCTGTCACAGATATTATGAATACTGAAAAGATATGTGCAGATATGGAGTAAACTGATCCCTTATGGTACATTGTAAACATATGACAAATATTTTATTTTGCAAATGTGAGAAAGTTCAACCCGTTATAAAACTGCTTGAACTAGCATTTTAAATATGTGGTTTCTGTGGTAAAATATTTTAAAATACATTCTAAATTCATGGTGTTGAATGTTATACTATTTGAATGAAAAACTTGTGTTTTCCTCAGCATACTTCATTGTTTTCTGTCTTAGGAAGCATGGTATATTCTGTGAGTTACTTGCTGTGTAACATTATGCAGGATTTGGCTAAAGGACATTGACTCTCAGAAACTTAGTACTCCAAGCCGCCCATTTCAGCTTACCTAGGGCATCTTCATGAGCACATTGAGCATCCACCTGCCAGTTTACCTGATGCTGCAGGGTCAGCTAGAAGTGTCTTGTCAAGCCACGCAGGAAGGCTTTCTGGCAGCAAGCAGGAAAGAGAGCATCCTCCTTATGACTTGACATTAATGACTTCCTCCATATGGCTCAAATGGCTCAAGAAAAAAAAATCTAAAAGAAAAAATAACAGCTTGCAAATAAAATCTGTCTAATTAAAGAGAAAAAATAAAAACACCTAATAAGAAAGCTGTTGCTCTTGACATCTGCTGACCTTATTTCCGAGTCCTTTATCACCAGTGGCAGAGTTTGTATTGTAGAAAGAAACATAAGGCCAAAGGAGCACAAATAAAATCTGAGGTTGATTTTCAAAACTAAGTACGCAAAGGTCTTCACAGTTGTCTGCTGGCTTCAGTTAGCAACTCTGTAGCTGCTTCTGTAATGTAAAGAGGACAAGGGGAAGAGACCTAGAAATCTGTACTCCATGGAACCAATTAGTCTGTGTTGGTGTAAAAGGGAAGACAGATTGCTGGGGAAACTTCACAGTCCTTGTTGAAGAGCATACATCTGGGGAGACAGAAAGATGGCTAAATGAAAAAAATTAAAGAGCATTGATCAACCAGGCTCATCAACACAGAGGAGTAGCAGACTGTCAGAGATCCTATCAGCTCTCTGCAGCTGCCGGTCAAAATCCTAGGATATAAATTGGGATGAATGGAAGTATTGAACTCTGGTTGACAAACACAGCCAGAAAAAGATAGCACAAATGATTGAATTTGTAAAACAGGCATTGTGAGGTTTTAAACAGCCTTGGCAGGGAGCTCAGCAAATGAATTCCAGAGCAGAGAGATGCATGTGACCACTAGATCCCAATGATCATTGAGTGTAGTTTACCCCCTGCAATTCAGAGGACAATTTTCTCATCTAGTTCATGTGGGTGTACACATGTATAAGGACATTTGAAATTTATCACTCAATTGGATTTTTCTTCCTATCAGTCTTTTTAAAACTTCACCAAAATGTTTTTTTTTTTAAAAAAAAAAAAAGAGATTTAATACTATACCATAGAGGTCTTCTTCCAAGAGTAAAATTGGTTAAGAAACTAAAGACTTTTGCTTGATAGCTTTATGTATTGTCCTTTGTTCTGGGGATAAAGGTAAGGTGACTGTGTGGTCAGGCTTGTGGCAAGTGCCTGTAGGAGAAACCTCTTCACTGGCCCTGACAGCTTCCTTTCCTCTTCCACTTGTCCCTAACTGAAAAAGGTTTGTCCTTGTGCCCCTTAGTTTCTGTTTCAACACTTCTGGTTCCTCTAGTCCATCACTGTCTATTTCTCTGTTTAGAACACAAAACCCTACTTTCAGGCCTCATGAATAAGATTTTATGATTGTTTTTAACCTAAGGTCAATAGAAAATTGGACTCCAGTGTTCAGTGTTATCTTCCTTTCTGTTCCCCAGTTTACCC